CCCTCCATTGCCCCTTCAATGGGGTGAACCGTGAAAGGGCCGACGCCCCTTACGAAACCCAGAACCTCGCACAGAGCGAACATTGCGCCGACCAGACGAAGGCGGGTCCGAAGGAGGCGCTGAACCCGAACCTGACACTAGTGGCTTACCACGACGAGAGGAACCCCGAGCCTTGGAACGACCCTTCCGGGAAGGCCCACCACGGGACCCCCAGAGAACCAGCAAGTTCGACATAGGACTGCAAGAAGCCGAAGCAGCCTGAATAAACTGCACAACGGCTGAAGCCTCAAAAAAGAGAGGGTAAAAAGGGGGCGAAAGCCTAAGAGCCAAGACCCAAGCGGATTCCACAGAGGAGGCAAGCACCGCCTGCCGACACGCAAGCCGGGATGCATAAAACAGAGCCACCGCATCCCACAAGATCGGTGCAAAAAGCTTCAGCATGGCAGCCGACGAGCGAGCCGCCGAGGCCAAGGCGCCAGACCCCAGAACAGTCCCAAGCGCCCCCACATCCTCCGTGAGCCAGTCAGAAGACGGCTCCAGGAGAGAAAAGAAGCGCAAGGCCACAACCAAAAGGCCTTGAGTGCGCAAGTCCTCCACCACCTACGCTGCCGAAAGGAGGGGAGCCTACACATGGAGCTGAACAACACCAACATCGCGGGGAAAGGCAGGAGCAAACAAGCACTCATTGAGGGAGGTGCTCAAGGTCGGCCCCCAGGAAAACCTGAAGCACCGTCGAAGCCTCCCGGCACTGAAGCGTACGGAATGGCAGAAGGAGTGCCAAGCCTCTAAGACAAAGACAGGACAGTCCGCCAGCCAGGATGACTCCGGAACCTCGTAACGGAGCCAGAAAGGGACCGAAGTCCCAAACCTGAAAGCCGAGGGATCCATTGCCGAGGCATAATCCGGGTCATGCAGGAGGTTTGCTGCAAGGGCCACCAGCACCGCAGCAGGTTGGATGCGATAAGCCGAAACCCTCTGGAAAGACAGAACCGAAGCCCCTGGGGGAACACGGAACCTAACCAGGGGAGGAGCAGACACCAAATCTAACTCGTACGCAGAGGAGGAAAAAGAAAACCCCACTCTTTGCAACAGTAAGCCCCGCTCAGAGGGTATAAAAACCCAGGCGGGGTCCAGCGGGGCCCAAGGCCCCCAAGTCAGCCCCTCCCCAGCCCCGGGGTCCTCTCCAGCAGGACCCGGGGCCTAGTCCTCCCCCCAAGCACCAACCCCACTAGACAAGGTCGGCTCAGCCGTAGAAGCCGGATAGAATGAGGCCCACTGGTCAGACCCAGAGGCTTTGGCCGGGGAAGGAGACTCGAATGCCTCCGTCGCCACACCAGAAGGGGCATCCTCTGAGGCTGCCCGAGTCTCAAGACCAACTAACCCCTGTCCTGACTCCGAAACCCCTCAGACATTTTGGGGCCGGAAGCAGGGGAGGGGGACCGGAACGAACAACAGGAGGGGTAGGACCAGGAGGTGCGGACTGAACCAGGGTGGAAGCGACCCCCACCCCCATGTCTGGGTCCCTATAAGCAAAACTGGGCAGCTGTGGGGCATCCGGGTGAACAACCAACCTAGCGCGTTGCAACAACCGAAACCTAGAATGCAACGCCTGTGCAGCCTGTACCCGAAGATCATCATCCATAGACTGGGGAAATTGAGTCACCAGCAAGCAACAATACTCGCAGGACTCGGGGTCGAAAGTGTCACCGGCCCAACAGGCTGCATGACGGAGGCAGAAACAGTGAGGGTCGCCCTGACACAAGGGGACCTAACAACCCTCAAACTTGCACGAAGCGAGGGGGGACCCCGGGGTGACATCCATCAGACCCACGCGTCCCTTAGGGGATTCCCAGGGTCCTGAGCGTTTACTTGAAGAGGACTCGCGCTCAGGTAAACCCAGGCAGGGTACTGCTAATCGGCGCCCAAAACTACCAAACAAACTGTCTAAAGCTGAACCCCAGGGACGTGTACACTCACTGGGATCAAGCAGGGGGCACCACCAAGTATCAGGGTGAGGCCAAACACCAGCGGCAAATAGGGCAGAACCCCCCCCACCAAGGCAAAAACAAAAGGAATAACAAAACCCCGCAAGAGGACAACGTACCCCAAGGAACAGAGCCGGCCGCTGTGATAGCTGACAACTAGCTGCACAGCACCCTGCGCCCCACCAGTGCAAAAACTGCCTCTTACCCTAAGGTTAACTAGGGGAGACAAAACCCCCAAGTACCCAAAGAGCGGCCGAGAAACTGAGCAGTGAAACGGACACACAGAGGCAGACCCCGAGGAACTTGTGGAAGGTAACCCCAAGCTCCAAGGGCAGTAGTGTACTTACAAGGCACCCAGGGAAGGGAACCCTAGGCGCATGCAGCCCGAGTACTGAGGAATAACTCCTGGCTCTCGCACCCCTGGAGAACAGCAGCCACACAAAAGGCACAGCGCTGCAAAAAGACTGGAGCCAGAGCACACAACCGAGCTGATTGCATCAGCCTCAAGAACTGAGGGTGGATCGCCGGCACGGTAGGTCTGGGGCTGCCCCTTCCCCCCTCCAGGGGAGGTGGGGTTGCGCAGACAGCGGCGCGACGACAAATGACGTCATACTAGTTTGCTCATTTTTTTGTTTGGGGAGTTCTATCCACTCGTTCGGCTTTTGGTTGCAATTTTCACCAGAATAGGGGCTTGTTTTGGGACGCCTACCTTTCTGGGTGCCTAACCCGGTCTATGGCAGACATAGAATGCTTCCATTTACAAGGGGGTTTCTATAGGCCAATTGCTTCCCTTGCCTCTCTAGAGGGGTCCAGGTTCTGGCTCGTTGTCCCTGGTAGGCCTATAAGAACTCCATACACATGACTGATGCCAAAGTCTGACGTTAGCATATCAGCCTAGTAAGCTCCAGGGAGCTGTAGGGGCTTCCCCCAGAAAAAGTGATAAAACAATAAGAGGAACATCCTTGGATAAAACAGAAATGTCAACGTAGTTGAGCACCAGATGTTGACAAGTGCCAGGCGAAGCCGTGCAGAATGCCTCACCAAGTGAAACAATAAAAATTCATTTTCATGTTTTACATATTTATATACAAATTAATAGTTCTATAATGGAAAAAGATTTGAATGTAATGAAATGCCAGTTTTTGGATGAGCCTGGGCGGCTCCCTGAAGCTATCTGAACTGATATAATATTATATTAGTTGGGGTCATCGGTCAGTCCTTAACCCTTGGGCCGCTATGAGCCATTTTGCCTTCAACACCCACAGGCGCAAAAAAAAAAAAATTACAAATTTTTTTTTCGTCTTATAAAAGTGTTCATTTGTGTTCCTTGATCACGGGAAAAGTAAAAAAAAGAATTGTAGGTGGCATATTTTGGGCGCAATAGAGTGGGGAAGTCTGGAAAAAAAAAACAGCATTAAATGTAATGAAACGCTATTTTCTGGGTGAGACCCGGAGGCTCCCTGGAGCTATATCGGGCTGATGTGTATATATTAGACCGTGGCAACAGTCAATTGAAGGAGTTCTAGGCCTACCAGAGACCAGAGCCAAAACCTGGGCCCCTCAAGAAAGGCACGAGGAGCAATGTCCTAAAGACGCCCCCGTGTAGTTAGGAGCCTTTGTCTGCCATCTACCAGGTCAGGCACCCAGAAAGGTAAGAATTCCTAAACAAACTACTGCTGATCAAATAATTGCAAACCAAAAACCGAACTAGCAACTCCCCAGTCAAAACCAAGGAAACAAGTATGACGTTACTACAAACGCCGTGCATCCGTCTCATTGGGGAGCTCCCTGACTCATATACTGTTACCAGAGGCCTACCCCGACCCAACGAGGCCCGAGCCTTGGCACAACCATTCCCAGAGGACCGGTCCTCCCGGGTCTCTAGCCCCTATGGTGTTTTAAACCCACAAAGCACCATAGGGGCGAAGTCCCAGGCATCCAATCCCAATGCCGCAAATTCCTAACCCAAAGAAATCTAGCATATACAATAGTGCCAACCATCAGGTACGTTTCCAAACATGAAGCTGAATCGGTAAAGGCGGAGACCCAGTGTGAGCAAACTTCACAGGACTCAGGGTCATAGGTTTCACTAACCCAGCAGGCAGCATAGCGGAGACAGAAAGAATGATCGTCGTCCAGTAGCAAGGACAATGAACACCTTTCAAGCTCGCATAGTGAGCAGAGGCTTGATGGGTCGGGCCATTACAAGCCATGGCCGAGACCCACATGGTAGTTACCAGGGTCCAAAGGTAACTAGCCAAATGGGACCCATGCACTCGGGCTGCCAGCCCCATTACCTCGGCGTTGTTCCTTTCATTATGCTGTTCACCTTTCCTACAACTCTTCTCCTACTCATTACTCTCTTATTTCACCTTTCATATTCCTGTTTTGATCTAACACTGCACTTAAGCATTTAAAACTTATATCCCCCCTTTCAATATCTCTGCAATTTTTATCCTACATTTAAAATATATTACTTCTTCATGACCCCCATCCCCCCTCTCTAAAAATCTACAAAATCCCCTGACATTCCATTCCTTTCCTAAAACAACATAATCTCACTTTTTCATAAAGATCTTCAACTTTCTTCTCTTGCACAATATCACTTCACAAACTTTTGCAGTTCCTCCTCACTCTTGGCAAAGAGTATTGCATCATCCACTTAACTCGGTATTAAGAACAACAAATAATCCCATCACAATCCACTTCCACTACTGGTCCGGGTAAATATTTACTCTAGATATTTGTAATATTTCCACGTGTGTGTGTGTGTTTTGCACCCAAATTAATCATTCTATAAGGAAATTGTTTTCACATGGACAGATAAGCTTGTATTTTCTTAGCAACACATTATTGGGATTAAGGGGTTCTTGGCCCTTATTCAATGACATCTACATAGTTACATTTTGTATTACATAATTACATTTTGTATTTTTATGTATATAATGTACTGTAATGGTTTGCATTAGAACTGCTTTGTATCAGAGACAATGTTTCAGAGATATGTAATTTCAGGCAGAAATCTGGAATGTGAATGTTGTACTGCACGCATATGGAGGTGGGCAGCTACGGCGTGACCAAGTACTTGTTGGTTACCAGCTAATGGAACAACACTCTGCACCTATTACTGATGCAGCTTTCAGCCCAGATGGCACTGCTCTAGCAACAGCTGCTCTTGATGGCTTTGTGAAATTTTTCCAGGTATTGTATTTTTCATATTTTTTCTTTGTGTTACTTGTATTTTGTGCAGTATCGAGCCCATCTTCCTAAAATGAAAGGTCTTAGGTCTTGTATATATTAACTATTTGGTCAAAAGTACCAATATGTAATGATGGTCTACCAGAAAGTTGACTTTCTTTCAAATCAGAATATTGTAACTACAATATGAATATAAGACCTAACCTGATCTAACTGTGCCTACCTATCGGAGGCCTAATACATGCTATCTTAAGCCCAATATAGTAAATATATATATATACAGTGGAACCTCTATTAACGAGTTTAATCTGTTCTGGCACCGAGCTCGTTACCTGGAAAACTCGTCTTAAGAAACAAATTTCCCCATTTAAAATAAAGGAAATAAATTTAATCCATTCCACTCCCAAAAACATCCATACTTGTAGGACATTTTATGTAAATATAATACTGCACATGTAATTATAAATGTTTTGTTGTAGTGTTTTAATGTTTACTTTACCTTATAAAGAGTAGTTGCTGGCCTGAGGGAGACGATGGAGAGGTGGAAAGGAGGAGAGGGGTTATGGTGCGGAAGGAGAATCCATCTCTGAGTCAGGCGGACTCTCTCTTCTTGGGAATTTCACCCAAATTTCATTTCAAATGTCACACAAGGATGCGTTAGACCAGCACCAAATAAAAAACTACGTCGATTACACTCATCGTGTCAACAATATAATGGTCTTACCACGAAGATACAATACAATGCCGTTCTCCCAAATAGGCTATGTGGCTATTGGAGAAAACGGAAATTTCATGGCAAACCTGTATACAATCCCCAAGTCGATCGGATAAGAATTGGATTTATAGAAATATTTGCTCAAATGACGCTTGAGCACGGTGTTTGGGTGCATTTAAGAGAAAAAAGTGTCACGTTCAAGCGACATATACCTGCGAAAGTGATAACACTTTCACAAAGTGTTATCACAAAGTGATAAATTAATTAAACATTTTCACACACCGGGTTGTCACTGCTTTATCAGAGCAGCTTTTCCAAGAATGCGTTCACCTTTTCAAACATTCCCAACACTTCCCTGATCTCAGTGGAAGAGGCAGCATCCTCCCTTACCTCCTCATTCCCTTACTAATGGTGTAAATTGTTGATGAGGCCCTGCCATACTCCCTTATGGGATCAGTCACACAGACACCACACTCATGCTTTGCTATAATTTCCTTCTTCAAATCCACAGTAATTGTATCTTTCTTCCTCTTGACAACACTATCTTTAGCTAACAGCTTCTTTGGCTACATCGTGTGTTACAAATTGTAGTCGCAAAACCACTAAAAACCCAAAGAAAAGCGCAAATAAATCCAGAGGGATGCTTGTCGTGTGTGATACAACAACAACACTGGCGTCGGAGGCGTCCGAGAATTTGCGAGAACCCGCAAGATGCTAGGAAGCTCCATGTAGTTTTGCTCGTTAATAGAGGCGAGCTCGTCAGTAGAGACAAATTTACTGTGAGTGGCTTGCTCGTTACTGGAAAAACTCGTTAATAGAGCCGCTCGTTACTGGAAAAACTCGTTAACAGAGCCGCTCGTTAATCGAGGTTCCACTGTATATATGTATATGTATGTATGTATGTTAAATATGACCGAAAAAGTAAGATTAATAATTCTAACACGAATTTTCTCAATATTTCTTATGTTTCTTTTTACTGTTGATGGTAATTGAAAAATCAATTCTCCAAAATTAATTTTTATTTCTAGTCCGATGCGACGCTTGAACGCGTTTCGTAATAACGTATTACATTTTCAAAGACTTTGTACACACATGCACACACGCACGCACGCATGCTCGCACGCTCGCTCTCTCTCTCTCTCTCTCTCTCTCTCTCTCTCTCTCTCTCTCACTTACAGCAGTAAGGAGAGAGGCAGAAAGAAACTTTGAAAAAGGGATAGCAGATAAATGTAAAACAGAACCGGGCCTATTCTACAAATTCATAAACAACAAATTGCAGGTAAAGGATAATATCCAGAGGTTGAAAATGGGAAACAGATTCACGGAAAATGAAAAGGAAATATGTGAAACATTAAATGAAAAGTTCCAAAGTGTGTTTGTACAAAATGAAATCTTTAGAGAAACAGACACAATAAGAATTCCAGAGAACAACATAGAGTGGATAGAGGTGTCTAGAGATGAAGTGGAAAATATGCTAAAGGAGCTCGGGAAGAACAAAGCAGCTGGCCCAGATGGCGTTTCACCATGGGTTCTGAGAGAATGTGCATCTGAGCTCAGCATTCCACTTCACCTGATCTTTCAGGCATCCCTGTGTACAGGAATCGTAGCAGACGTGTGGAAACAGGCTAACATAGTTCCAATCTACAAAAGTGGCAGCAGGGATGACCCCCTCAATTATAGACCTGTATCATTGACAAGTGTAATAGTGAAAGTATTGGAAAAGCTAATCAAAACTAAATGGGTAGAACTCCTGGAGAGAAATGATATAATATCAGACAGACAGTATGGTTTTCGATCTGGAAGATCCTGTGTATCGAATTTACTCAGTTTCTATGATCGAGCCACAGAGATATTACAGGAAAGAGATGGTTGGGTTGACTGCATCTATCTGGACCTAAAAAAGGCTTTCGACAGAGTTCCACATAAGAGGTTGTTCTGGAAACTGGAAAATATTGGAGGGGTGACAGGTAAGCTTCTATCATGGATGAAAAATTTTCTGACTGATAGAAAAATGAGGGCAGTAATCAGAGGCAATGTATCGGAATGGAGAAATATCACAAGTGGAGTACCACAGGGTTCAGTTCTTGCATCAGTGATGTTTATTGTGTACATAAATGATCTACCAGTTGGTATACAGAATTATATGAACATGTTTGCTGATGATGCTAAGATAATAGGAAGGATAAGAAATTTAGATGATTGTCATGCCCTTCAAGAAGACCTGGACAAAATAAGTATATGGAGCACCACCTGGCAAATGGAATTTAATGTTAATAAATGTCATGTTATGGAATGTGGAATAGAACATAGACCCCATACAACCTATATATTATGTGAGAAATCTTTAAAGAATTCTGATAAAGAAAGAGATCTAGGGGTGGTTCTAGATAGAAAACTATCACCTGAGGACCACATAAAGAATTTTGTGCAAGGAGCCTATGCTATGCTTTCTAACTTCAGAATTGCATTTAAATACATGGATGGCGATATACTAAAGAAATTGTTCATGACTTTTGTTAGGCCAAAGCTAGAATATGCAGCTGTTGTGTGGTGCCCATATCTTAAGAAGCACATCAACAAACTGGAAAAGGTGCAAAGACATGCTACGAAGTGGCTCCCAGAACTGAAGGGCAAGAGCTACGAGGAGAGGTTGGAAGCATTAAACATGCCAAAACTAGAAGACAGAAGAAAAAGAGGTGATATGATCACTACATACAAAATAGTAACAGGAATTGATAAAATCGACAGGGAAGATTTCCTGAGACCTGGAACTTCAAGAACAAGAGGTCATAGATTTAAACTAGCTAAACACAGATGCCGAAGAAATATAAGAAAATTCACCTTCGCAAACAGAGTGGTAGACGGTTGGAACAAGTTAAGTGAGAAGGTGGTGGAGGCCAAGACCGTCAGTAGTTTCAAAGCGTTATGTGACAGAGTGCTGGGAAGACGGGACACCACGAGCGTAGCTCTCATCCTGTAACTACACTTAGGTAATTACACACACACAACTGTAACCTGAAAACACTTAAGAGTTTTACTAATTCTAACGCTAAAGAGCTTGTTTTATATACTCGCATTATTGTGAGGTGATATGTTGAAACAGTTTTGGATGAGGTGAACAAACTTTTGACCAACACATGACAGAACACGGTTAAATGGGTATAAATTGGATAAGTGAAAAGGGAGAATGGAAGTAACTGCAAAGGGCCTATTGGCCTATACTTCCTCTTGATGCTTCTATATTGGTACGGAGTCTTGAAGTGGGTAGACTATAGTTGTGCATTTTCACATTGTGAAGTGGGTAGTTTTTATTTTTAAATGTATCGAGAAAGTGCCCTGTGTCCAATACGGCCGTACTAAGAATGGGAGACCAAGGGGCATAGGCTAGGGAGCCAGACGAGCATACTGGGAAATAATTGCTAATAATAAAATATTGAAAGCAAGCAGAGTTATCACAGTGTTATCACAAACTTATGATACATCAGCAGTTATGAAGGAAGCACACATCATCTTACCCAGTATACATAACCCACCCCTGATGTCATACATTATCTAACGACTGTGTTATCTTTAAGACTGATTGATTAATTTAGTTTAAGCCAACCAGGAGGTGGCACGGGCATGAATAGCCCGTAAATCTTTAAGACACATTTATTCATTATCAAAATATAAAACGATCCTGGAAATTTGATCCTTGATCCTTTAACTTGAAATTTGATCCTTGAAGAGAGGCCCCCCTCCCTCTCCTCCCCACTCACCAGCACTGACACCGGCATAGCACTCGCCGGCATGGGGAGCTGGCTCGACGGAGCTGAAGCCCACCACTTCAGTTCTTTAACTGATGTGCTGGTGGTCATTTCAGTCACCTCTGGCCTCAAGTTCCTGTTCTGGATTTTTGACCTGTATGACTGTTCCAGGTGGTGTGATGGTCAGGTGTCCTGTGTGTTGGTGTGGTGGCCAGGTGTCTTAGTGTACAGAAGCAGCATGTGCCTAGGGTGACCTTCCCTAGGTTCTCCGTGAGTTCGGCCCTTGCGTGTCAGGGTTATCTTCCCTGGGATGTTCAGGAATCACTCCGTTTGAGGCTTTCATTGCTTGATGTTGTCTTCGCCCGTGGGGTATGTCGGGGGTCTAGGGCTTTCCATCTTGCCCCGGGTAAGGGAGTATTATTGGCTGGGTAGGGCACACTGTGGCTGGCGCAGCTAGCTTTACTTCAACGCAGCAGCCGATATTTAACGACTGCCAGTTTGTTGTCTGTCTTTGGGGGGTTTTGTTCTCACTTTCTTTTCAT